TCCTTAATATTTGCAACATTTGCCACATTGCCCCTTTATAAACCCGTATACTCCTTTTCCATCCATAAATGCCCAAAAAACCTCTTTACCCTTATCTAAATATGTTCACCTATACGTTTCATTTTTAAACATTTGGTCTACACACCCCCTACCCTTCCTAAGTCTCCTTGTTCATCTGTTTATCATACTCTCCAGCTTACTTTTAATTCTTTCAATAATAACTACCATACACTTTACCAGGTATACTAAAACACACTTATTTGTAACAGAATACGTACAAAACTTATAATTAATGAATATTTTTTCGAAACAGAAGATACTGAATGCCTTAGAAACCTTGACCATACAATAAATTTCAGTTATGTACCGTATTGTATACGGAAAGAAGAAAAAAAAATTTAAAATGCAATACTGTACTGACTAAAGGTAAGTAGATATTTATATATTCTTACAATTATAATGTAAAAATTCCCCAAAAGATTTTAAAAACAAACTGAGAAAAAAAGCAAACAAAATATTGAGAAAGGGCCCACTGTTGACATTTTGCAGAGAAGAAATAATAACCAGGAGAAAAAAAGATCCTGAATGAGTAAATATGGTAACGAGTAACAAAAACATTAAAAAATTGGTTGAAAGTAAACTTAAAAAAAGAGGCAGAAATTTGAGGACATTAGAAAGAGGAAAGAGCCAGAATGAAGGACAGAAGTAGCAAGGTTAAAAATGGAGAATACGTAAAGTAATTGGAATGTAATAAACTGAGACAAATGTTAAGTCAGATGTATATTAGTGTTGGAAGGTTTTGCATGTTTGTTCAGACAAATTTTTCTGCTTTAGCAAAAGAAAATACAATTTTTTGTTGGGCAAAGTTCTTTAACAGTTGCCAAGTAAGCCAATATGATCATATCTAAGGTGAATGGAGATGGTGTAGGATTCAGCATCCAAGGAAAAGTTTGAGAAAAGGTGGCTTAATAAGGATTTTATGCTCAGCAGGCAGAGAGTAAACAGGTATATTAGACATGTGTAGTTGAGTGGTCCTTGTTATCCATGCTCCTGAATGAGAACAAGATGGTATCTATAAAAGGACGAAAGGAAAACTGGCTCGCTGGATTTTAATTCTGAAGGTCAGAAAGTATGATTTATACACTTTGCAAAGTAGGGAAGACGCTGCAGTTCAGCAGTCAGTATTAGACCATAATATTTGTGCTCTCCTGAAATTTATTCATGCACTGTAATCTTCCACTTTTAAGAATATACAAATTTAAGTAATCATCCTGGTTCACCTTAGCAACAGAAATCTCAGCAACAACTGTGTACTGAGAAAAGGTAGAGCATCCCATGAAATGGTAGATTTCCTTTCCTTTACATGTAAAACGTGTGGTCCCATCTGGCATAACACCCTTGCCTTGAGTATCTCTGATTTTGCTGCACAGATTTGTCTTGGGGGGACTTGCAGAACTTGCATTCACGACACTGAGGTATGTATAATGGAATAACATGATCACCTGTGAAAAGAAAATAAATTTTCAAAAATGACATTGTTAATGCCATCATTAAAAAATTGGGCAAGAAAAAATGATATGGTCCAATCTTCCAAAATTATGCAAGTTCTTTCAGTGTAAATTCCAATACAGCACATTATAGTGGAGGAATTCTTTTGCAAACTACCTCCCTCCAACCCATCTTTCTTTTCCCCCACTCCTTCCTTCTCCTCCATTTATCTTCTTCACTCCCTCCCCCACTCTTCTTTCCCAGTCTTGTTGCTCTTCTCTATCCAGTTGCACCATAATTTTCCACTTAAAATGTTCCATTCTACATACACCCTATTTCTACTTGCACTTTCTTCCACTCTTTTTCAGCAGATAACCTAAATATAACCTTAATTAGGGGTCTTCTATCTACCTTTCCTCATTGGCTTCCAATTCTCTTTTCCAGGCACAGTGTTATACGATATTTTCTACCAAATGACCTTTATTTAAAAAAAAAAAATTCTTGTATGGCCAATGTCAAAAAAGTTTCAAAGAAAAGGAGGAAAAAATCTTTTAAACATATTACAGCACTAGGGGTATATGAGAGGCTTTGATCCAAGGAATAAAGCATAGCTCTAATTTAAAACCATAAAAGAAGAGTCTTTAACTACAAGTCCCTGATACTGTAATGATTGATTTAACCGACTTTCCACGCAGTACAAAGTAAAAAGAAATGGCTATGCAGACAAGGAGTTGTGTTTAGTGAGCCTCAAATAAAACACCATATTCTTTGATCTACTGTATTTTTTTTTTCTGGTATCCAGAGTATTAGGATAAAGTAGTAAAGAAAACACACATGATAATGTACATGTGAAGGTGTATCTAATGATGAAAATTATGGTACCTTCTCATTTGTGAAAATGTGAAATAAAAAAAATTATTGCACATAATAAGCTCCACACTTGAATGAATACTAGAGCCATTACATATTATGCATAAGTATTTAAATGATTAAATCATGTAAAAAAAAGGTATACGAACACATTAAGAAAAATGGGTAAATGACACAGTAGTGTGAAGATATAAATACATATTCTTAACAAATATTTACTTAATTCATCCTCTTTTCCTTGTTTTTAACTTCCACAAGGAGGAGGTTCTTTCAAAAAGGCAAGAAATTAGCGAGTAAAAGACATTTTATTGTTAATTAAACCCATGACTTACCTTCTTTCACTGAAGTGACTCCCTCTCCAACACTTTCCACAATACCACCTCCCTCATGACCAAGGATGACTGGGAATATTCCCTCTGGGTCATGACCATCCAGTGTATAAGCATCAGTGTGACACACTCCACTTGCAAGTACCTAAATTAAAATAATATTTTTAATTATTTGTGAGACAATTCACTTTGACACCATGAAACCAACAAGCTTGTTTGTAATTATGCATAGGAAATTATACGACTGTAATGAGTACTAACTGGCTAGTACAGATTATGGCTGTCTATGTAAATACCAGGGTCTTTGCTAGAATTTAAAATTTTTAGGCAAGACAGGAAAGGAATGTAAACAATATTAAAACCAAACTACAGTATTCTTTAATTTCCATTGTCCTTTATACTGTATTACTATGACCCTTATTAAACTACATATATGCATATGGTATATTTCATAATAGTACTGCATATTACAAGACCTGTAGCCTAAGAGATGTCTAATCAGCCAAGTTGTAATGGTTACATATAAATCAGACAAGTGTTTTAGAAACTTGTGTTTTACTCACCAGGAGCTTTTACAATCACAAAACAGGTGAATTTTGAACCCATGGCAAGCGAGTCCTAAAAGTCACAGGCCACTGCAGTAACCCTTTCAGGGCCCGTGCCGTAGATCCACGGCTTTATGTTGAGGGTCCAAAACCGTAGATCTACGCCATGAGCTCAGCTCACTCTGATAAGCTGTGAGCAGTATATTTGGTCCTAGATATGAGAGAATACATCTATGTGGTATGTGTGCACCACATAAAACAAATCCTGCAGCACACAGTGCATAATGAGAGAAAAAACCGAGACCGTAATTTTCCATTAAAACAGCAACTTTGCAGTATTTTTTCGTATGTTTTTTATAGATGTATTTGTGATTTCTTGGTCTCATTCGATAGAATGGAAGGTATATTACAGAAACAGAGATGATTTTGATTGGTTTTAGTATTGACAATGACTTGAAACTGAGCTCAAATTAGCAGAAATGTTAAATTTTTGCCAATACTCAAGCATAAACAAATGACCTCACACGTCTAATACACGCCAGCTGGTGAGTCTAATACACGTTCACAAATGTGCTGATATTATTTATACAATTATTACAATATTGCATGACAGTAAATCTTCTATTTTTTTGGTTTGAATAAAAATTAATTATGCAAATTAAAAATCAAAATGGAATTCATTTGTAAAGCCTGAAAACATAACTAATGAACAGAGGAAATGTTACTTTAGTGCCAGGAATGCCTGCATTGTTTATTCTGGACCCTATTATGAAATTGGAATATTTTGAACTTTGCACTAAATTGGCCAAATTACCAATTTCCAATCACTTTATTTTGTAGTTGAAACAGCTGAGTTGGCGATTTCTTGTGCTCAATCGATAGAATAGAAGTAATACTACTAAAATAGCTAGGAATTTGATCGAATGGAATAAGGTAATTGGCCTAAAATGGGAGTCAAAGTCAGCAAAATCGCCAATACGTAAATATCGCTGACACATCAAAATTCGCGAGTATAATTTCGTCAATTTTCCATCAAATTTCGTACTTTTTGTTTTATTACCTTCAGAAAAAGATTCTCTACCACTTAAGAAAAAATAACAATTATTTTTTGAAAATTCTTGGACACTGAAATTTGGCCTCTGGACCCTGAAAGGGTTAAAGCACTGGCCTGTGAGCAAAATCAAGTAAAACAATTAGAAGACATTTAGGCTTATAACATCTATTGTCAAAAATTTTAATGGTACAGTATACTGAAAAGCCAATTTAACCATACCTTTATGCGCACTTCTCCAGCCTTTGGAGGAGCAACTTCAACATCTTCTATAGTCAAAGGTTTCTCCTTTTCCCAGCCACAGCAGCTTTGCACTTAATAACCTGGAAAATAAAACAGCAAATATTAGCTTTTTTATTGGCTTTATTCAATTCAATTCAAATTCAAAGTTTATTCTCTATAAAGATTACAATGTTGAATTTACAGAATTTGGTTGTTGTGTGGTTTACATGTAGTTAAATAATGATTACAGAGTGTACCACTGGAACGCCTAGCATGGCTAGGCATTTCGGGCAGACTTAGTTCAATTCTTTATTTTAAAATATTACAAATTATGAGGTAAGTTGGTATTATGGCTAAGTGACTAAATACTAGTTTGTGAGTTTAGCAATGTGAATGCTTTTGTTTTGGCACAGTACATAGTTTCAGTATTGGAGTATCATAGGATTCATTATTTTAAGATTGAGATTAATATTTCTGTTTATGGTCAAATAGGTGAGTGAGTAAGTGTGAACCACCAGGTGGTATTCGTGTAGTTAGTTGATGGGGTTTATCAGGGAGATAAGATGTTTTCTAATGGTAGTTTTGAAGGTGATGATGTGTCTGCAGTTCTAGAGTTCTCAGGTAGGGTGTTCCAGATTTTAGGGCCTTTGACATACATTGAATTTTTGTAAAGGTTTAGTCGGACATGGGGAATGTCGTAGAGATGTTTGTGTCTGGTGTTATGCCTGTGGGTTCTGTCACAACTATCAAGAAAGCGTTTTAGGTCAAGGTTGATATTGGAGTTTAAGGTCCTGTAGATGTAGATTGCACAATAGTAAGTGTGGGATGTACTGAACAGGGAGTAAGTTTAGATCTATGAAGAGTGGGAGGGTGTGTTGCCAGGGATGGAATTTAGTGATTATTCTTACTGCAGCTTTTTGTTGGGTTATTATTGGCTTTAGGTGTGTTGGTGCAGTTGATCCCCAAGCACAAATAGCATAGGTGAGGTATGGATAAATAAGTGAGTGTATAGTGTGAGAAGGGCATTTTGCGGCACGTAGTATCGTATCTTGGAGAGGATCCCTACTGTTTTGGATACTTTTTTGGTTATGTGTTGGATATGGGTGCTGAAATTCAGGTGTTGTCAAGGTATAGGCCTAGGAATTTGCCCTCATTATGTCTGGTAATTAGAGTGTTGTCGATCTTAATGTTAATTTGTGCATATCCTGCTCTGCTACCAAACATAATATAGTAGGTTTTGTCAGTGTTAAGCGTAAGTTTATTGGCTGTCATCCAAGTCGATATTTTGATCAGCTCCTCGTTAACAATGGTGTTGAGGGTGGCAAGATTAGGGTGAGAGATGACATAAGTCGTGTCGTCAGCAAAGAGAATGGGTTTCAGGTGTTGGGATATGTTTGGAAGATCATTGATGTATATGAGGAAGAGCAGGGGGCCAAGGACACTTCCCTGCAGAACTCCAGTATCAAGTGGCCGTGTTGTTGATGCGTGTCTTTAATGGGAACATCTGAACC